ACGATTTATATGGCACGACACACACACGCAAATAGATCACGATATATTTCTACATACTGTTAGCCCTAAAATCTAGAAACTACGTACTGTATCGTTTCGTTCGATAGCATTCGTCGACTCTGCTGGGAGTCGTTAGAATAAATGCGACTAGCTATTTCGTGAGGACCGTGTCGTTCCCCTAGGCGGAGGAAAATCGATTTCTCCGATGGTGAGAGAAAAGATGCGAGGATGGGTAGACGGAGTGAATAGGGAGTTCTCTACTTCGCCGCGATCGCCGACCGGAAAGACGGGACCTTTTCTATGGGGGTGGATAAGACGTGCTAGACCTAGCTGTCTCTTTCCCCAGAAACTGTACGATGTTCGAGGGGTCCGTAGATCAACCGATCTCGGGCGCATCTTATTTCTCGCCCGCATAATGGCGCATCTGCGTCGACAATATTTTCCGCATCACGGAACATCCGATAATATTGGATGTCGTATAACTACGGAAATGATTCATGTTCGGGCGGGCGCGAAGACACAGGCTCTATTTTCTGCTCTGATTCTAGAAAATGCTAAATATTCGCGATAAGTCTGGTTACCATGTATGCGCAATATTGTAAATTTGTAAATTTAAAAAAATAAAGCATTACGTCATCGCATCACCGTCATATCTATATCTTTTCATCTAAAAGTTTCTTGAATAATTATCTGATAAAAACAGATTCCAGAACGCATTAACGAAGAAGATACTGATAAGAGGAATATATTGCGCGATATTTTCCCGAGATGATAAGTCTAGCAATCTAGTAAGTACGCTTGATTTATAGTTTGCATCATAGAGAAACGATAAAAATTGTTTAAGCTCTCCTCAGTAATTATCATCAATGTTATTATTACAACATTTTTCTCTTTTTTCTAGCCTGAAAATTCGTATTATTTTAAACACATAAATACGAGTTATAATATTATACGATTATATATTTTGAACAGCAAAATACACGATAATCTCTTACAATATATAATAAAATATCCGAGAAACAATTTGGCGAAATAATTAAGCGGCTTGACAATGCTTTCTTTTATTTTTAGAAAGATATTATCTCGCAAATAGACGCATTGTTACCGAAAAGAACAGTTTTCACAATTCAATAATCCGCCTCAGGCGCCGTCTTACGTTAGATTAAGGGAGCAAATGTTTCACGACTGCTGCTGCCATATTGCCCCGCAAGCACTTGAGCTGCTTGTCTTAGATTCCCAAGAGAGTAACAGGAGAACCCTAGGTAATACGGCCATGTGACCCTCGCGCCATTTTTACAGAATCTTGAACTCGAAAGAAAATAATGTTTGCCAAAAAAGGGACCGACGTTTTATCATTATCACGCACTAGAAAATGGAAAACCGTTCCGTTTACGAAGACCGTATTTTTTCCGCTTAAATAAATGTTTCCCCATAAGTAAAAATTGGAGAGATAAAAATTGCCATTGAATTTAAAACAAAAATTCGATAAAACAAAAATAAGTATACACAGTAAAAAATAAAATGTTAATTACAACATTTTTCACATATTCCAGAAAGTCTAAATTTCACTCTAAATTTTAAGTTAAAATAACTCATTCGTTACTATTGACAAACTAAAAATGTTAAATTGATACAATACTTTACATTTATTTTTATTATCGTGACTTTAAGTGTAATGTAAAAGTAACAATGGCAATAACTCGTAAGAATTGTTGTAGGACATTAACATATAATAATAATTATTTTAATTTAAATTATTCGTAATAGAAACATTTGATTTTAGTAAATTTGATTATTTTGTATGTTAAAGTTCGATTATTTTTTTTTTAAATTCACTTTAACTTTTTCTTAAAATGTTAAACTGATCTTGAGACATGTTGATTGTTTAAAATGATTATGTTAAACATACTCAAAATAATATTTCATTTCTAAGAGATATATACAAAATGTTAAGTTATGAAGTTGACATAAATGTAATACATGAAAAATAATAACATATAAGTTGTATGTTAATTTTACATTAAACCAATCAAAACGTGGTAACACAAGAAAATTTTAACATATGAACGCACCATTTTTTACTGTGTATAATCGATTTCCTCGAATTTCATTTCATAAAATATGCAGAATGCATGTTTAAAAAAAATCATCATCAAAATAATCGTTATGATTATTGTTAATATGAATACATATTAATATGAATATCGATATAAGATCTTTTTTGAAGAAAATACTGCACCGATATAAAGTTAATAATAGCAACAGTAGCATATAAAATATAAATATCCTTTTGCAAACGTGATTTTCTTTTTGCAACCTCATGGCATTATTAGTAAGTAAAAGCGTATCCTACGCACGTACGTCGTATGCATTAAGAAATATGTAATTGCGACGTAGTTGGAAGTACGAAGAGGTTACGTGCTTATGTACTTACATCGAGTCCCAAGTTCCCTTAATAGACAAAGTTCGGTCGTTTTTCTCTGCTATATCTCTCGCTATAGTTTATATGATGAAACATCAAAAACATCCAAATGATTCAATTAACTCTCGGAAGAGAGACGTATTTTAAAAATATAGTGTCGAATATAAATTAGCAAAAATGGCCACCAATTTTTTGAGAAAAAAAATAAAAAAAAATTATGTTACATTATACACACAGATAAAAATTATCTAACACACAATTTTAATTCTGTAAATTTCTAATGAATCGTCATGAATATTAATAAGTTTCTTTTATGGAGATAAAGAAACTAACTATTCATTTTCGTAAGAAACAACAATGTTTCGATAGTGAAAGCAATTATCTGACCCAGGTCGGGGAAGAATCGATGTATATAACTGCCACGAGGGAAAAGAAATGGACTAGTAGGGAGAGTAAAACGGATTTGGCCGAAATTAGAACCTCGGAGCCCATTTCGGGTATGTCGGCAGGCTTTACGTGCGTGATTCCGAAGGGAAACCACCTCGATAATTTCAACAACAACGGACGCGCGTTAATTACTCAATAGCTAGAGACACCACAGTAACTTTTCTATTGGACAAGCTGTTCGCCCACATTTATTACGCGCATTTACACATGGTGACATTAAAAACTGCGTACCGAAAATATAATTAGCGATTGTAAAATACTCATCCAACTTCGGAAGAAAACAATTAACGAAGAATTAATTGAACTATCATTTTTGATGTTTAAAAATAAATTATGGTGCAAGATAATCTTCTCCATAAAAATTTTCAGCAAGAAGCGAGCTAGACAATATGTTGCACAAGATGACAAGGCGAAAAGGAATGCCAAGAAATAGAAGGCGGTGGAGGATTTTATTTTTCTCCGCGAGAAAGAAGAAGAATAGAACATCTCGAGATTAATTGAGTTTTCGCGCGGAATAAAAAGCATTCGCGCGAATATCGGGCGATGGTGCAGTATCGAGGAGAGCATGCATTAGTATATTAGAGAGGGAGGAGCGATAGAGAAAGGGAGGCGATGCGCGAAGCGATTGAAGCTCGGGAAATCGGTCTGAGCGGGGAGCAGATTAAAAGTTTGTCGAGGAATTTCTCCAGATAAGGAAGGCAATTTAGCACACGATCGCGGTGATATCGAATCGGGATCGAAACGGACGAGACGAACCGATGGGGAACCGATCAAGCGGGGGTGGGTACGCACTTATTCGAGCGTGTCTCCGCACAAGCCGACTATTCCGCCGGGAAAGTCAGACTCGACAACTTTCCCGGAGTATTTTCCCCGTGAGCGACAATGCTCGAGTTACCGAACGATTGCGTCGGTAAATAGCCAAGCTGGTTAAACCGGAAATGCGACTCCAGCCGCGAAGCGGAACCCCGGTGCGGCGGAAACCCTTACCTACGGCATTCGAAACCGCGTGTTTGTATGCGGTTCTCGGATTACGATTGCGCAATGCGTCTGTCCCTTGCAATTTTCATCGCGATCGAAACAGCACGGATGATTACCGAGGGATACGACCGCGTCCTGGCATCCTTCGGCGATATGGTGGAAAGGAAGGGTGGATATATATACAAGGTGATTCATATAATGTGACCGATATGAATGTTAGCTAAAGTTGAAGAGCTATGAAAAATTGTTTATACCAAAAGATGTTTGACACAGAGGGGGACATCGTATGGTACAAACGATATTTTTGTAGATGAAAGCATTAAGGAGATTTCAAAATCAACTTAATTTTTTTAAATGAAACTCCCTATTTTTTATTACGTATTCTTATAGCTTATCTCGAGAGTTTTCCAAAACACTATAATAAAGTTTCTTCAATGAGTACTTTTCGAGTTATGAGGCTTGAAATAATTTCTTAATTTTATATAAACTATCAACATAAAATATCTAGTAAAATATTTATTTTTTGATTATCTTACCTTAATACTTTTATATACAAAATAATGAGAGGAATCAATTGGTGTAAAGAAAAAAACATAGTTGTTAAAAAAAAAAATATAATTTGCAGTTAACAATTCCATATTTTTTCTTAAAAACAACTGTATGTTTTCTTTACACCAATTGATTCCTGTTTGTAATGTTTTCTTTACACCAATTGATTCCTCTCATTATTTTGTACGTAAAAGTATGGTTTATGTATTATAAAATAAAGAAATTATTTCAAGCCTCATAACTCGAAAAGTACTCAATAAAGAAATACTTTATTATAGTGTTTTGGAAAGTTCTCGAGATAAGCTATAAGAATACGTAATAAAAAATAGGAGTAAAAAAATTAAGTTGATCTTGAAATCTCCTTAATGCCTTCATCTATAAAAATATTGTTTATATCACACGATGTCCCCCTCTGTGTCAAACATCTTTTGATATAGAAATTTTTTCATAGTTCTTCAACTTTAGCTAATATTCACATCGGTCACATTATATGAATCACCCTGTATATATATATATATATATATATATATATATATATATATATATATACATACATACACTCATGTTATATGATCTATCTAACTCGTCGAGGTAATGAACTTACCGAGTAGCAAACTGTCTTCGTACGAGGATTGGACACCAAATAGATCTGAAACGGAAAGCAAAGTTCTATTAGATTAAGAGGGAACATGCTCAGCTATTTTACGGAATTGCAGAGAGAACAGGCTGGAAAATATTCGGTTCTCCAAAGGGGGTAATTTTATAAATGGCCCTTCAGAATCAAGTTACATCAGAGATTAACTATGCATAGATATTGCGCAAAGTTTGTACATACCATATTGCTAACTCTGATACAACATCGTGCGTATCTTATTACAAGAAACATACGAAATATGTTTCTTGAGTCAAATGTGTAAATATTCATACATGGATGGAACGCATATACCCTGCGTTGTAGTATCAAAACCCAGGATGCCATGGCAAGTTGATTGCTATGTCGTGTTAAGCATGATACACCGACACATCACTCGCAATCAGTTTAAAGTACCTTACTCCACAGCCTCAGCACTTGCAAACTCACAAATAGACCCGATACATGCACGCAACATCTGTGAAGCGAAGATGGGAAAATTAAGCAGGACAATTTTGGAGGTCGGCGTTATTGATTTTCCAAAAAGTCAAATACGAAGCGAAAGTCCATCTTGTACGTATCTACCTTGCAATCTACATTAACGAGAAGATGAATTACAAAACGAGAATTGCTCGAGGAATAAATCGAAATTTCAAGCCTTATTCGTACAATTTCCTTTTTCAATCAAATATAAACATCAACGTGTAACAATATTAGCTCTAGATTAGATTCATTATTTATTAGAATAAATATGCCTATTTAAAAGTTGCAACATTTATTTCTCGATTTAAAACTTTTTAAAAATTGCTGTTTATTATTACATTATAAATATAATTAGTATAAAATGTGTGTGTTTTGTTCTATATCAGCTGTTAGTATAAACGTGTAAATTATACATACATCGTCTTTTATCAAATGTTTTCCCGCGATAAATTAACAATCCCACGAGAGGCTTCGATTATTTGGTCTCGCTCTCGTAAATTTACGCGCACAAATATTAATTATATATAAACATAAATTTGATTGGGTAAATTTTAATTAATTTAATCTAAGCAATATATATATAACTTTGTGCCGGCTTGCGAACGCTTTGTAACTTCTAAATAGATCTTCAGCGCCCTTCGTATAGTTTACCGACAATTATCCTGTGTTACACGCAAACTAGTTTCCGCGCCATCCTAAATTTATCGATCGGGCCCAGTCTCGCGACGCAAATACCCGAGAACATTAATTAACCGCCGCGGCGGGCACATCGATCGGGCGAAGTCGCTTCTTATCAAGGTTGAAGTTCATGCGGCACCGCGATTATTAGCGGCTGACCAGATGCGCCGTCGACGCTGATCAATTAACTGTGGATCTAATTTCCTGGATCTTGTCTCGTATACACGAATATCGCCAATAATTATGTCAATTAATATAGAAAATGTCTCGAAATATATATATATATATATATATATATATATATATATATAATTTATCGCATTGCATTATAAATGCACAGTAAAAAATTGTGCGTCTATATGTTAAAATGTTTTTGTGTTATCACGTTTTGATTAGTACTTTAATGTAAAATTAACATACGATTTTTATTTGTTATTATTTTTATAACGTTTACATGTGTTACATTTATGTCAACTTCTTCATAACTTAACACCTTGTATATGTCTCTTAGAAATGGAATATTATTTTGAGTATTTTTAACATAATCACACACACAACACACACATTTTAAACAATCAACATGTCTCAAAGTCAGTTTAACATTCTAAGAAAAGTCAAAGTAAATTTTTAAATAATCTTGAACTTTGATATACAAAATAAAAAAAATTTAATAAAATCAAATGTTTCTATTACAAATAATTTAAGTTAAAATAATTACTATGTTAATATCCTACAACCATTCTTACGAGTTATTGTAACTATTTTTTCATGTAATCTTTAATTAATTTGTATGTTATTTTTACATTATACTTAAAGTCGAACAAAAATAAATATAACGTATTGTGTCAATTATTTATAATAACATTTTTAGTTTGTCAATAAATAAAATACGACGAATGAGTTATTTTAACTAAAATTTAGAGTGACTTTCTGGGACATGTAAAAATGTTATAATTAACATTTTATTTTTTACTGTGTATTCCATTTTGTGTTCCACGATTCCATTTATCAACTATTCTTTACTTGCATCGAGTTTCATTTGTATTTTAGTTTTCTCCACGGTTACACGGATTTCTGTAAACTTTATCCGAGATACAATTCTATAATTAATGTACTCTCTGCTATATATAATTAACCGAATTCTCTAATTAAGAGAATTAAATTTAGAAATTACGGCCTCATCCACATTACCAAAACAGACGAAGAAGAGAAATGTAGAGAAAGGAATGGAAATGAGAGAGTAGGAATAAGGCAGGCAGTCGTGTCGTCGAATTATCCACGTGGGCGAATTTCCAAAGTTCTCATTCTGTAATGACAAAGTAGACGATAACCAAGCTCTCGTTCGACTAGAGTGCCTCTCGAAGCGTACGTTAACGTGCATTTAATTGTGGCATTATATTTCTATGAGTACAGAAAGTACGGCATTGTATTTTCCTGCGACGTGTCGAGACATTTCCCCTCATCCCTTAGGAAATTCGCAATATCTGTCTTCCGAGAAAAAAATCATTAATCTCGATTCTATCCGAATAAGAGATATGATTCATTTTTTTTCGTGAAAACGCGTGAGTTTTATTAACATTATATTGTAATATTTATAATATATGTATATAGATATGTTTTAGTATAATTTATGAAAATGACTTGAATTAAATGTAAGACGAATTAGAGAATTTTTTCCCATTTTTCTCCATGCGTCTGTCCCTATTTCCTATCACATCCTTGATACGCATGATTACGATGCCTATCAACGAGATTAGTCTCGCGGGAATATCGTGATGGATGGTATCTCGAAGGAAACATCGGAAATTATCCATTAATTATCATTTCACTATTACACATTGCATATTTATTGGATGACGCGAACTTTATTTCAAGCGCAAAAAACGATTGCGGGTATAATTACGTTGATTGATCGTAGCAATTTATATAAAACGTTATATTATTTATATAAAATGGTTATATTTATCACGATATCAAGAATTATTAAGAATGGTTAATGAAAAGAAAGAAAAGGCAAAAAACAAATAAATTGAAAATTAGTAGATTAAAAAATATTTTCTTTTATATAGACATGTATGTTGATTTATAACTTGTATTATTTTTCACAACACTGACAAGATTATATAAATTGATGTATGTAATAAAAAGATTTTTCCTCAGAAATTCACTTCTCATTTTTTCTGCCCATATTTTGACGCTAAATTAATTATTAATTATTTGCACTTTGTTAATTTATTTACAGAAATATAAGAGAATAATCCTTCGATTATCTCGTAGACGATATCTCTATCACGGTAAAAAACATTTTGTATTTCTGTTAAAATTGTCTCGTGTAAAAATTGTGTTAAATTTTTAACATACTCTTATGTTAATGTAACATATTATCGTTGCGTTACTTTGACATTTCTGCGTTGAGTTAATATTCACTGTTTCTAAGAGCTAAAACAACTAATATGTAAATGCACGAATTTTTGATGAGATATGTTATATGTTAAAATGAACAGATAAGTTGTATTATTTTTCTCTCTACAGTTTCCATATACTAGATCGACATATCTCTTCTGTTATTTATCACAAAAGTGTAAGAATAACATTTTCTTTTAATTAAATTTAACATTATAAATATGTTAATTTAACATCAACTTTTATTTCCAGATAAAGTTTAAGTGTTAATTTTTAAACATATTACTTTTGTTATTTATTTACATACTTGCCTTTTGTTAAATTAACATTAAAATTAGAGTGGATAAATTGGGACATGTGAAATATGTTAAATTTAACACAGAATTTTTTTCTGTGTATAATAAAAATAAGCATCAACACCGTCAATATCGGCACTTTTGTCGCGCGGCACATTCGATATCGCGGGGAAAATAAAAATAGCAATATCCTATTAAATTCATGCATCTCCCTAGTTTCATTTCGGTTGATTGTGTTACGCGGCGCGCGCACGTGTCGATGAACAGCACACGTGGAACGCTCGAGCGGGTTTGACACGTCCACAGGTTGAGCGAATCTCGCTAGACTGCCGTTGCGTTCGCATTGCTATTTGCGTTTCGCTGAGGGCACACACGCCGTACATCGTTAATTCCCGTACGTTCGTGCATCCATTTTCGCCTCGTGTTTGGACGGTTGCGCGCGTACACCAGAATAGCTCGATACGCGACGACCGTAAATTCGCGTCGAATTATACTGACGCGCAATTTGCGAATTCGAGAAACCGCGACGGCGCCGGCGACGCGTGAGATTACCATCGAAGGACGCGGCATCGAATCCCAAATATGGAATCCGCGAATTTAATCGACTGATCTGTGCGCTATGCCTCGCACAAGTTGAATTTCAACTATGTTTAACCTTCGACATATCATACGTGCTTCCCTATTTGCATCTCTGTTATTGAAGCGTCGAATCCTGATTGTTGAACGATTCCCTCTTCTCTCGATTCGACGCTTCAATAAGATTTGCTTGTGAAATTAAGAACGAGTACTCGTTTCCCGCGTATTTGACGCGAAATTGGATTTATCGAAATGGTACTGGGATTATTCTCCTCTTCTCAATATCGGATAAAGATTTCTACGCGGCAAGCTTTTCCCTCCTCTTCTTTCGCGAAAAACTACCGGGATAAGTTTCCGTGTAATTCCGAATGGTTTTGATATTTACTAGGTAAAATCAGCGACGCGGCTGTAACGCGTTGTATTGGTAAGTGTGCCACGTATTCTCGAAGAAACGTCGACGACGTTACGTAAACCGCTTTCCCGCCGACGTAGGTAATTCGCGAGGACGGAAAGAGGTGGCGAGACGATTTTTCATCTGAGTCACGTTTGCGGGAGTCTGAAACTTTCGGGAAAAAGGAAGCT